TCAAGTAAATATTATCGTCAAGAAGCTGAAGCTAAAAAACGAAATCACTCAATACAAAAACTGAAATCGAACTTGAAGTTCAATGTCAAAAGTAAAATTAAACCTAAAACCTAAATTCAAACTGATACTTGAATTCAATCATGGAACTCAAAATGTAAGCTAAAATCAAATAGAAAATCAAACTTGAAATCAAACCCACAATCGAACCTGAAAATCAAACCCACAATCGAAATAGGGGAATGGGACGAGCAGAAGATATGTAAAGAAAAAGGAAGGGAATCAGCATAACTGCTACTGGTGGTGCGGTGGTGGTGCCTCTCTTGACGGCACAATGGTGCCTCTCTTCACCTGAAATAGCCCAAACATCTAGAATTTGTTCAAAGGGACAGAAATTACAGGGATGAATACAATGTTTTAGGGCGTATACGTTTCTGATATTCGAAGTTTGTAAGGTTTTGTAGCTTGGACGTTTCCGGCGGCAACATAGTGTTGCAGGTGGGTGTTGTGAGAAGAGAGGAATGAGAAGAAGCTCTTTTGCGTTTGACGGGAGAAAGTTGAAGAGGGTAAGGATGTAAGGTATAAAAGGGGGTTGTCCCACTTCCATTTCTTTTTCAATAAAAAACTCAAAAAACAATAAACAATTGCAAAATAAATCAAAAAGAAATAGTAAAGGACAATATAGTCATTTCACATATGGCAGGGACGAAACGTGCAAATTTTCACGATATAAGGGACGGTCCGAGTTAATTTTTGAAAATAGGGACCAAACGTGCAATTTGACACTAACACCAGGGACGAATCGTGTAATTTACTCTAAAAGAAAAAAGTTGGTGACCCCAAAGTCCCGAACCATAGGGTATTTTCGTGTAATTTTATAAAACTAAAGTTGTGTTGTATAAGATAATTACATGTCCCAAACCATAGGGAATTTCGTGTAATTTTATAAAACTGAAGGTGTGTTGTATACGATAATTAGATGAAATATGCATTATTTTGTAAGATTTGAAAAGTAATTGATTATTCGATTATTTGAGCTTCAAGATCCTTAAAATCAAAATCAGTTGTTAAAAGTTTAAGGTTAAAACATTAAAATTAATCATTTATAACTTAAAATAATAATAATAACAATAAGATAATTAAATTAATTGCGCCTCTATAAACACAAGTAATAATATGTAGTATGTTACATGCTATACGTCGATCAATTTGTATTGAATTTAAAAAAAAAATCATAAATACAAGTAGTTATTTGGAAACACGAATATTTGAATCCGTCCAAGATTTTATGATTTGACCCGTGAATGTCTTTTATCTTTACCATCTCATTTGAATTTCATTCCACTCCCTTCACCCCCAAAACTTTTTGAAAAAAAAAAGTTCCGATTTTTATGAATCTTTTAAAATGAATCGCAAAAGGTTCTCACTAAATTTTTGAAGAAGAAGAAGACGACGACATGTCAACAGTTTGGTTTTCTTTAAAAAAATCATTCCACTGCAAAACGGATTCTTCAGCAGTCCACGACCCGAAATCCAAGAACCATTTATCCACCATCTTGACCCGAAAACCAGGCAGATGCGGTTGTTCAAGATCCATTGCAAATCTCAAAGATGTCATCAATGGCGGAAGCAAGCGGCATTCTGAAAATACAGTCAATTGCAGTCCAAGATCTATCGGAAGTAGCGATTTTCCAAATCCCATTACCCATGAAGTAATTCTCAATAGTTCAAAATGCGAGCTCAAAATCACCGGATTTAATGGAGGCGCCACCGCTGATGGATCGACATTTGTGGGTACTTTATTGCCCGGCACACCAAGTCCCTGCGCTAACTCCGCAATGCATTTCAAGAAAACGCCATCAAGAAAGATGATAGAAAGAGAAGGGAATGGAATCGGAATTGGCAATTCCGGTCATTTAGGTGTTTTCGGGAAGAACAGTACACTTATACAAAAAACTAGACACTCGTCTGATAAAGAATCCGAAGAGTTTTCCGGCGAGGGAGTCATGTGCCATAAGTGTGGCAAGCAGTTTGGCAAATTGGAAAATCTAGAAGCTCATCATCTATCCAAACATGCTGGTATAATCTTGAATCTCAATTATTAAGTGTTATCATCATCGAAATTTGATTATATTTTTCAGAATTATAATCGGGTTCTCCTATTTTTATTATGGCTGGCTTTAAATCTCCATATAGTTCCTCCAACTTTAAAACATTCTGTGGAATACGTTGCAGTTACAGAACTTATGGAGGGTGATTCCTCGAGAAAGATAGTGGAAATCATTTGTCGTTCGAGCTGGATAAAGTCCGACAATACCTCCGGTAGAATCGAGAAGATCTTGAAGGTCCACAACATGCCAAAAACCCTAGCTCGATTCGAAGAGTATCGAGAATCAGTGAAAACGAAAGCCAGCAAATTACCCAAAAAACACCCTCGTTGTCTCGCCGACGGAAACGAGTTACTCCGGTTCTACGGCGCCACAATCGCTTGTTCACTAGGCATCAATGGCGCCTCCTCGAGTCTGTGTGTCTCGGATAAATGTTGCGTTTGTCGGATTATACGAGAGGGGTTCTCGACGAAACGGGAAATCAAGGGCGGGATCGGCGTTTTCACGACTTCGACTAGCGGCAGAGCTTTTGAATCGATTGAAGTGGTTGAGGAAGGGCCGGATACACGGAAGGCGTTGATTGTGTGCAGGGTGATCGCCGGGAGGGTTCACCGGCCGCTAGAGAACATCCAAGAAATGGCGGGGCAGTCGGGGTTTGATTCGTTGGCCGGAAAATTAGGACTTTATTCCAACATCGAGGAGCTTTATTTGCTTAGTCCCAGAGCTCTTCTCCCTTGTTTTGTGGTGATTTGCAAACCTTAATCAAACACAAATGTTCAATCCTTTTTTCATACATTTCTCTCTAATTTTTTTTTTAGATAGGCTCATTAGTTTACTACAGGTGTTTGGCAAAAAAGCTTATTGCTTATTAGCTTAAGCTAATAAGTAAGTGGGAGATAACTTATGAAAAAATGACTTATCAGAGGTGGTTCCCTACCGGAATAAGTTATTTTTCATCAAAACACTTTTTTAATTTATAATGATGGAACCACTAATAAACTAATAAGTTGTTTTAATAGGCTTAGCCGAACACCCTACGATTTTCTTTTGCTTCGTTTTTTAGACTTGGGAATATACTTTATTGGCACAAGTGCACAAGGTTCTTTGTATATAAAATACAAATAAATATACTACTAGTAGCATATTTTGTACCCGAAAAGTAGCTCTAAATTTTCCAAACAAAAGTAATGGATTTTGGAATTGGAAAAGTGGATAGTGGTCCTAGATCCTTTAGAAATATAGTACATGTTACTTGTTATGGACCCAAATTTTATCTGTTTTGGTTTGGTTTGTGGGTCTACGAATTAATTGAACCTCCACCTTTTATCGGAACAACTCGCTTGTTTAGATAAGGTTGTGTCCTATCTCTTTGTTTTAACTTTTAATCTGGTTAATTTAAAAGTATTCATGAAAAAATCTGATTGTAAAAGTTTTATTTACAGAAATACGGATTTCTACTAAAAAAATACCATGCAAATATTACACGAAATACGTAATAAAGTATAAAAAAGGGCACGTAAATACTGTACAAAATGCTCAAACAAATAACAAAGAGTTAGGATATTGACTAGACTAATGCAACATCACTATAAAATCAACCTTATAAACCCAAATGTGGGTATAAATGTACAATAAGTGAAATTGCACTTCTATTTCCTAAATATCATTTTTCTGTCTTTACACAAAATTGGCATTACATCCACAACCAGATAGAGAAAGGTGAGACACGATTTGTTGTTACACAAGGGACTTCATTTGAACCCTACTTTCCCGAATCAAGACCACACCAAAACCCGAGCTATGTGCTTTAGGTCAAAATGGTCAGATATATTACATAACAAATAAAAAACAAGACAATTGAACAAAATCAAAAGAATTTAAAAAAAAAAAAAAAAGTATTTAAACTTCAACTGAGTCGGGTATGCTGTCCATAGATTCGGCCCGATGGTGTTCACTATTCATTGAGTTTTGGCGAGCTGATTGACCTATGGTGATAGCAACTTCTGATGATGATAATGAGGAACGTCTTTTTTGATGCCTTTTGTTTTGTATTGTTTTTAAGATATGGGACAACACTTGTACGTTGTCCCTCATTGATGGTCTTTTTCTCGGTGAACGGTTGACACATTTGTACGCGAGTGCCGCCACGTCATTCAATTCACGCTCATCAAAATTCCCGTCTAAACGCGAATCCGCTATTTCTTCCCATCCAACTTGCCCTTCCGTATTCAATGCCGCCTGTTTATCACAAACAGTGACATCATTCCATTACTTTGCTTTTTTCCATTATGGTGTTCATTCTCTTCGTTTGTCATTCCATTCTATTGTTACCAATGGAATGGAATCACATATGAAGAAAATGAGAGACGGAGAGAGAGAGAGAGAGAGAAAGAGAGAGATCTTACTAGCTCAACATACTCCATGAGACCTTGTTGAGGGTTTCTTCCTGCAATAAGCTCGAATAGTAATACGCCAAAGCTGTAAACATCGCTTTTCTTGGTGAACGCACGTGATGATATATATTCAGGATCTAAATACCCGAAAGTTCCTTGAATATTTGAGGCATTTCTATTAATCATGTCTTCTCGAGAGAGCCCAAAATCAGCTACCCTAGCGCCCATCGACTCATCTAACAGGATGTTGGAAGATTTTATATCTCGGTGTATAACAGGAGGAACTGCCTGCAATTGTAATCAAAACAATAACCAATTTGACCATTTTACCCTCGTATTACAAAATAAAATAAAATCATAATTAAGTTAAAAAGAAACAACTTACTCCATCGTGTAGATATTCTAGTCCCCTTGCAACATCAAGAGCGATTTGAACCCTCAAATTCCAGCCTAAAAGTTGACGGTTTTCGTTGTACAAATGAGAAGAGAGACTCCCTTTGCTCATGTAGACATATATGAGCATATGTTGTCCCTTTTCTGCACAATATCCTACCAAATTCACAAGGTTCCTGTGATGTAATCTTCCCAATAACATAACCTCCGTATGAAACTCTTTCTCGCCTTGTTTTGAATCAGTTGCAAGGACTTTAACAGCAACAGTTTCACCGGTTGTCATCTGAGCTTTGTAAACAGGTCCAAATGCCCCTTGCCCTATTATTGACGTGAAATTACTTGTTGCTTTCTGTAGATCTCTGTTTCATCCAGAAAAATAAAGGGAAAAGGGTAAGAAGATTGAAGTTGACAGAAAAAAAAAAAAAAAAAAAAAAAAAAAAAAAGTAAGACTTACTTGTAAGAATACTCGAGGATTCCTGAAGCTGCAACCACGTGAGATTTTCTTGGTCCAGTAAACCAAAATGAAATGCCGTTGTGTATAGATGCTCTTGATGATGTCTCTGTACCCATTGACGAATCGGATAAAACTGTACAAGAATCTGCACCATTTGCGCGTATGGGGATGGTTGCTGCTCTTCTGGAACTGCTGTTACCTATTTGAGATCGTTTCCTGTGAAACCTAAAGCAGAGTAGTCCAACTATGGCTAAAATTGCTCCGATTACAACCCCAATTGAAATACCGATGATCAGACCTGATGACTTCGCTTTCATCTCTTTGATGTTTCCTACGCAAGCAACTAATTCATCAACAAAAGGGAAAAGTATTTGTTACAAATCTAGATTTCAACTATGGCCCAATTCACTGTTGTTACTGGAAACACGGTTTCGAATTTTTCGAATATTAGAAAGCCAGATGCGGTTTTGTACTTTCTGTTGGAAGCTAACAATTATTCAGTAAAAATGGTGTAAGGCAATCACGCATGTAAAACACCATCTTCACCAGCACAACAGGAATAAAAAGTAAAAAGAGAATTAAGTTGAAAAAAAAAATTCAAAATACAATTATCGATACAGATCTCTGAGAGGGAAGGAAAACATAACATCGACCACTAAATTGGGCCAAGTTGAAGAAAAAACAAAGAAGGTTCGATGATTGCTCCATGTTCATACACACGATAAGACAGAAATTAAAGAAAAGAGAAAAGAAGAAGAAGAAGAATGGTTTTAGGAGCTAGAAATTAGGCCTAAGCGAGTAACCGATGATTTTGCTCAATATTTTTTTTAGCTAAATCACAGTAGAAGAAAGTCGAAATCCTCCAAAAATATGGTACCAAAAATAGCATCGGTTGACGAAATTAATGTGTCTTTTACTTTTTTTAACAAAAAACATACACAGTAAGTTGATTGAGACAAGGCTGACGATGTCGTCCAGATCAAGCATGATGAACAGTCATTAACACATAAACTAGACGATTGAGATTCAGATTCAGATTACATAGAAGACAAGTATAGTACTATCAAAATTACGTATAAACTGATTCTTAAACAAATCATAAGAAGTTTGGTTGACGATTTACCTGTTGATACGATCGATGATTGAACTGAAAAACCGTTACATTGCTGAAGAATTCGGAGGGGAAATGGAGAGAGAAACTTCGGGTATCAGAACAATAGTTCTTTTCCATGTTCGAAGACTAATTTGAAGAGACATTAATCCAAAATATACTGCAAATGGAGGAATTTTATGAATATTTTTCTTGTGGGATTAAATAAGAAAAGCGGACTGGTCGCCGTTTTGTTGCAAATGGAACAGCGTGTGATGCCGTGTTTCAGGGTTTATTGCGAATGATTTCCTTCTTACGTCATCGAATATTAACATGGTTTGACGATTATGCCCTCAAGTCATCCACCCTACTTCCTGTTTTTTGTTTAAATTAACCAGAAAAATTACATAAAAATAAGAGATACTTTGAGAAAATTTTAAAAAAATGTAGATACTTTGAATTTATTATTTAAGAAGACCATAACTTAAAAAAGCTAAAAAAAAACTAGTTAGCAAACACAGCCTTAATCAACATTTTTTTTAAATCTACCCTTTTGGTTATCTTTATATATATTACATAACCAAAATAAATTCAATCATGAATGAAATTGATCAAAATCGACGGACTTGTATTAGATCATAGCAAATATATAGAAAGTGAAAATTTTCAATTTCCAAAAAAAAAAACAAAATTAAGGAGGCAAAATAATTTTAAAATGATCCTCGAGCTTAGAGTTTAAAACTTAAAAGTGCTCATCAACTTTGAACATAAGCATATCCCTCCATCGACAATCCCCAAAACCCGTTATCGAGTTGTAAAATTAATACATTTTCTAATATAAGGTTGAATTTCAAGAAATAACTTTATGCTAATTGTCGTGTACTGAATTTATTTACGTTTTATACTAATATATTTTTAGTTTCACGGCTTCATCATCAATTAATTACCTTGTTCACAAAAGCCTTACCTTGTTACCAAAATATATAAACTATAGATTAAAATATTAAAATATTGATTGGATTTTAAACATTGAATTTATAAGTCAAGCAAACAAGTGATGTTGGAACATGCATATAAACTATGGAAAATTTGTAATGACCAGTTTTATTTTTTTTTAATTAACTGATTATGATTAATAATTTTACTATTATTTAATATTAAAATAATAAGATGATGATTGGTTGTAAGAAAAATAATTATTATAATAAATATAAATCATCTAACCATCCTCTCATTACAACAAGATACTTCAAATCACAACAATCACTTGGAAAATTGCATATCCAAAATCAAACACACCTTCTGTATTTTTTTGGATAATACAAATTATCATTTTTTTTTTAATCAGTTGAAATTCAGACTTTATATTTAAACAATCTGATAATAGTATTATGAACTAATCATAAGTTATTTAGTATTCACAAACAAACGAATGGACAAATAATATTTATGATTAAATATCCAAAACGCTTTCAAAAACAACCAACTCTCTCAGTTTTGAGTTAAAGAAATAAAAAGAAAAACTTTTTTTTTTTTGAAAAATCTCTTTCTATATTAAAAAAGAAAAACACATGTATCTCGCTGACCATTAATTTTCTTCATATGAAAAAGAAAAAGTTGATGATCATACTAGATGCATTCAACTCATTTTAAAAAACTGGGCCTCTTCTCACCTTAATGTCACAAGAATTATTAATGCTCAGATTTCAGATCAGTGTGAGAAAATTCTTGGAGGCGATATAAAATGTGTTGTTTCTTTAACCAAAGTTGTTGAGACCAAACAAATCTTCTATAAAGCTGATTGTTTAAAAGAAGATTTTAAGAATAGATTTGTGAGTTCTTATTTTATAAATCAAACTTTAATTGATACATACTGCTCCATTGATTCTAATGGTATCACCAAATATGTTTCTCAGTTATCTGCTTTTGATCCCTCCCATCAACCTTTTCACCGTGAGTATGTTCTTCCCTCCACTAAGATTTTGCTAAAATTTCCTATTTGTAATGGTGAAGTTCATTTAGTAAACAAAATTCTTAGCATTTTTCCCCAGTGATCCGTTAGCAATTCTGAACCTGAAGATCAATCAAAGTCCCCTACTTCTAATGACTCTTCAATGATTCATGAGACTCATGACAAGGTATCATCTAAGCATACCATCGATGACATTCCTTGTTCCAGAACTAAAACAAAATCTCTTAAATCAAAATTGTCAAAGTTCTTTGGATTCAACAGTTAAAAAGAAATCAAAATCTATTGTTAAAGGAAAGAATCATGGAATCAAAGTTTGTTATCGATATGGCGATGTTTCTCACAAAGTCAGCGACCGCACTTTTGAAAAGAACTATGTTTGTGCTGACAACATCATGACTCGTAATGACAAGTGGATCAAAAAGGGAAACTTGTTGAACTTTCTCCCTTATGATTGTTATAATATCTTTTCTTCAGTGACCCGTTATAAAATGGGTCAGTGTATATTGTGTGTGTGTATTTTTTTTGTTTCATGGCTTATTGTATATTTTAGTTTCAGGGTAAAGAACATATTTGGTATTTATACAGCGGTTGCTCAAGACATACGACTGGATTCAAGTCTCTCCTGAAATATTTCATACAAAATGATGGTCTAACTGTTCCATATGGAGATAATGGCAAAGGAGCTACGAAGGGATATGGATCCATCAAGTGCAATTATGTTGTTTTCAAGAATGTCTCTTATATGAAAGGTCTTCAGCATAATTTCATTTCAATCAGCCAACAATGTGACGTTGGCTATGAAGTTCTCTTCAAGAAGAAGAATGAAAGGTTGTTGATCAAACGAATGTCACTATTATGACTGTAAACCAAAAGAATGTAATTTATGTTTTGGATATGTTTTCTACTGATAACTCTCTTCGTCACTGCTTTTTGTCTCATGTTCAGTCTCATCTAAATTGGTTGTGGCACAAGAGGCTATTGCATTTGAATTTCAAGAACATATCGAAGATCTCAGGGGATCGGCTTGTAAGAGGAATTCCTAACATGCGGTTTTTCAAGGATAAGATGTGCTCAACATTTGAAATGGAAAGAAAACTAAGTCCTCCTTCAAACCAAAGTCTTGCCCTTTTATTATCAAACCTCTTCATATTCTTCACATGGATCTTTTTGGACCAGTTCTGGTTAAGTCAAGAATTGGGAAGAAATACACTCTCGTCATTGTGGATGAATTTTCAAGGTTTACGTGGGTAGTCTTTTTAAGAAAGAAGAGTCATGCCGCTGATGAAATCAATTCTCTCATCAAGCAGTGGAAAGTTCTCTATGATCGCAAAGTACAACAATTATGTAGTGATCATGGAACTGAATTCAGAAACTCCTCTTTGGAAGACTTTTGTTCAATCTCAGGAATTTCTCAAAAATTTTCTACGGTTAGAACTCCTCAACAAAATAGTATTGCAGAGTGAAGAAACAGAACTCTCATTGAAGCTGGAAGAACTATGGTCGTCGAAGCTGGCCTTCCTTTGTCATTTTGGGCTGAAGCTGTCAATACAGCGTGTTATACCCAAAACTGGTCCATCTAATGGGTTTTGAGCATTCTAACACTCATATGGTGTACATGCAACCCTAGAAACCTTGGATCTATGTTTTCTCTAATATACATGCAAATTTGATTTTCCAAGGTTCTCATCCTAACTAGCATGTTATGGGGTACTTGTAACATAAAATCTAGTAGAATGACATACCTTTTCCTTGTGGTTGATTGATTGGAGTTTTGAGAGCCTAGCACCAATAATGTGGATGTATCAAGTGGAATCACAAATCACCACACAACTTGGAAAACCTTGAGAGAATAATAATGCACACTAGAAATCGGCCCACTCTTGTACACTCACACACTAGTGCCATTTCATGTGCCAAAGACCTCTTTATATAGTATGGTGGATTAGGGTTACAT